TCAATAAACATGACAAAACTGAATGTCAGAAAAGGAATAATTAATGTTATGCACATTATTAGTAATCAAAGTCTAAAAATAAACAAATGTCTATTCTTTAAATTAATTGTATATAAAGAAAATCTGTAATAATACAAACTTGTATTAATTACATTTTGTAGGTGCTTTGTTCTGTATCTCTGAAACTTTGGGGAAGTTTGTATCTAGCATTGTATAAAACAAAACAGCAATTCATGGATTTGTAAAATGCATTTTTAAAAACGATTTAGTTTATGTGTATGTAAAAAAATCAGTTCCAGTATATATGACAGATGCATAATGTGTGACAAAATTAAATCATTTTAATTCGACTAAAGATCCCTTATTTCTCCTCACCGATGAATACGTTTCAAGACATAGACTAGCAATGTCGGGAAGAAATTGTGCCTTTTGAGCTTTTCAAAGGATATGGCAATTACTGCTTGGCAAATGCAGTCATGTACTACTGTCCTTGAATGCTATAAAAGCCATGAGCATTTAGAGTTTTGCATGTAGTTCATCTAGTCTAGATTGTTCATTAGCCCCACAACCATTAGTATGTTGGCTTATTTTATTTTATTTTGTTTGATTTTATTTAAAAACTCTGTATCCTGCCTGTTGATTTAGACAAACAGGTGAACTTGGGAATTGTAACACTGAATGAAAAACACTGTTCTATAACATCAGGTTTTGGCTTACTTTCTCTTTAGTTGCATATTCAAAAATTTTGTAGTTATAAAAATCGGAATTTATATAGCTTAATGTTGGCTGAGTTAAGTATTTAATACTCAAACAAATGTGTAGGTTAAAGTAAAGCAGTTAATGTAACTTAATACGGCATGTGTGTAAATATACCGTATAATGTAATGTTTAAGGGACAAAATGATTCCTCCTATGAGTCCTTTGAAAAGTAGTGGCTGGCTGAGAACACTTAATAAAAAGGTGCTTTGCAATCACTCGATTATCAATTTTATTACAATCTAGCTTGTCTCATTTGCACCCACACAGTGTCTGGAGGCTGCCGTGGCCTATATTCAAGATTTACAGCTTGAGTTCTGCTTGACTGGCCAGACCACTTCTCCCGCTGACAGCATCCGTCGTCTCGTCTCCATCATTCCGTTTATCTTTATCACTAATGCACTTCAGCCATATTTCATGACATTTTCTTTTACCTTATTTCATTCATGCTGAACCCTTTCCTCTTCCACCACCCCGTCTCTCTAATTCCCACTTCAATCCCAGCAAGCTCTCTGCTCTGCCACCTTCTCACCCGAGGGTCCCGTAAAGCAGACCGTGACATCCTCTGGTGATTTGGATAACAAATGACCTTGGAGATCCAGTCAGCAATGTGAACACTGCTCACCAGTGCTTACAGAGAGTTGTGACAATGTCCCAGCATGCACCAGGAGGAACATGGGAATACATTCACAGTGTGGTGGGTTATGGATTTGAGAGTATTATTAGGGTAAAGTACACTGTAGTCATACCCCAGTGCTATGTGTCATTGCTGATGGTCAGTAAAAATGGAGGGATCTTTCATCACTTGCCTGGTTTGGGACCGTCAGCAAGTTTCCTTTTTACATGTTTTGAAAAGATATATTTATTTATTAATCGAATGACTCCTTATAGAGACTTCCAGAGAGCTTGAACTTGCTTACATGTGAACAGCTTCTGCATTATGAAGAGGGCATGGTCAGCTGTACTGTGAGCTAGTTTAACTTACATGGTACAACTCTTTTTATATACTTTGTAATTTTTAGTTTTTATCATTCTATAGAAAAACTGCCTGAAACAGTACAAAACCAATTTTTCTCTATCTTCCATTGCATCATTTTGTTTTCATACATGATATTCACAGTATGGGTATTTAAAACAAACCTGGTGAAGTGTCTGAAGGCTTTTTTACTGTATAACTGAATGATCTGACTGTGTTTGATGCGAGTTCTAACAAGGTTGATTAGGAGGACTGCCCAGTGCTAATTGTCTGCAGGTGCTACTGCCGAAACTTGTTTAACAACATCATTTAAGTCATATGTTGTTTACAGTATATACTATATAGTAAATATAAAACATAAAGGTTTCAAAACAAGTTTTCGATTGAAGTTGTGACCCAATTTAAAAGCATTAGTGATGTCAATTGATGCAATAAAAAAATGCAATAAATACCTAATCGCACAATTGTTAGCAATTAATCACGATTTATCGAAATTAAAAGACTGAATTTTGGATATGTAAATGTAAAATGTAAAAAAAAAATGAATGTAAAATCAGGACATACAAACTATTTAAATTCAAGATCTGATTGTTTATTGAAATTTTTAACATGTGACACAGATTTTCTCATGTAAACAACATATCCGCAATAAACTATCAGTATTCTCCAAATTAACGTTTGGCTTGAAAGCCATATTTATTGTAGTTTAATGATCATCATTTATTGATCACAGTTCATTGATCACAAAAACAAATGGAAACCACATGGAAAACCTGAATAACATAAGACTTCTTCAAAGGAGGAGAAATAAGCTCAACTTAATGAATAAATGACCAGGCTTTGTTTATGAATCACTATATTCACACGGTTACCTGCCAAACTGGTGTAATGAAGGCAGTAGTAATGAAAGCAGGCAGTAATGAACTTGCATTAATTGCAGAATAAAAAACTTTAATAATGTTAAATAATTGTATGCGCATGCATTGACAATGCCCTAATTTTGACAGCACTAAAAAGCATAGATTTTCTTTTCTTATTTTACCCCGTTATTTAGTTAATAAAAAAAGATTAATATAAACACTGTTTAGAAATTGCAGATAGATTTGCCTTAGACTAAACAGTAAAGGTATATTATCTAACTTTTATCCATATGAGAAACACATTGAGCTTTAGACCACATCTGTATTCCATCACGTGCATCTAAGTCCTAATAATGAAATTCATTAATCATGCAAATCTGTGATCATTTCATTTGTCTTCCTCTAGTGTTCCGTGTACTGGTGAAGATCATTCAGAAGCTCCTGCAGTCGTCCCCTCTGTCAGTTCTCGTTACCAACAACAAGAAGTTCTTTACACTGACAGGAAACCAGAGACTGCACAGACTGTAATTGGAAAGGGTCAATAAGGAGAACAAATGAAAAATGGTGGCTAAATAGAAACAGGGTTCAAATGATTACACAGGCGACAGCAATTAGACTAGAAATCCTAGAGAAAAGAAGACATTCAAGAACCCATTAATCTATTCTGATAAAATTCTATAGGTGTACATTATTTATTTCACCTTATATATGACAGTAGTACATTATAACATTAAACAATACTTTTTTGTGAGCTTTGTTTACTTTAAAATACATGCTGTTTTAGAATCTGAATGTTGTTGCTCACTATTAGAAGATAAAGTATTTAGGATACATTTTGGATCAGAGTAGACCCCCCCCCCATTCCCCTTTCATGCCCATGTTTTGTCATGCCCCTTTCAGTGCAAATAGACAGAAAACAGCTGATATCACTGACTTTTAAACCCTTAAAATATGATATAGAAGGGGGAGCACACGACTTGATTGATTGAGGTTGAGGTTTGAGGATCAAGGGTTTTAAGCTGACTGAAAGGGAATATTGGATTACACAATTATGCACTAATAAATGCAAATATTGATGCATTGACGCATGTTTTTGGTGAGGAAACAACACCGCAACAGTAGAAATTGATTTTGTTGATTTTGCATAATATGGCACCGTTTAAGTCTTTGAAGAAATAAACACAGTTTGGAACTACTTGAGATGAAATGAAGACAACATTTCCCTTCGAAGTGAATTTCTAAAGAAAAAGTTTGCATGTTATGCACATCTTGGAAGGATGAGGAAACGTTTTAGGGTTTCAAAATTGCATCATGAATTAACATCAGGCTTAGCAACCGAACCATCTTACACAGTGTGCTTTCATCAATTGACGACCTTACTTTCATCAAACATTGACCTTTTTAGAAGAAAAACTTTGTTACATTTGGTTTTGCTCTAAGCTCAGAATGTGATGCTTCATGATGACTCATGTCAACAGAATGAAGAACACTTTGACATTTTCCTGAGAAAAGTTTAACATTATAAGACCTGAAGTTATCTCTGGATTGGCACAGCATATTAAAGCATATAATCAGATTTGGCATGTTTTATGTGTTGATATTAGGGAAAATCTGTATTGCTAGTGTGATGAATGTTTTAGTATGAGGCTTATTAGCTGAAGCATTCTCAACCAATATAATTTTAATGTTTAAGATTTTCAAAGCCATTTGGGTTTTGAACTTTCCATTTTTGAAAAGGTGCAGATCATTTATAAAAACCAAGGTATTTTTTAGAGAAACCAAGGTTTTTAGAGTATTCATTGATAAAAAAAATGCAAAAAGAGGTCACACTTTCTTTCAACTATGGAACTTTCAATTCTTTGGAATTCCTGGCCCGACTTGATAAAATATACAGTGGTTTACATTTATTATGAAAATATGAACTGAACTATTTAATATCTGTGTACAGTTTGGCTTCTTTTTTGCCATTGCATGATGCCACATTATTAATGCTACAATATAAACTTACTCTCTTAACTTAATGGAAATTCTTAATAATGTCAGCATCATAACAACAAATTAAGCATTTTGCCACTTTTGGTACTCCACAATGAGTAACCCTAGATAATTTCCCCTATAATTTCCCTTTAATATCCATATTAAATATTTGTCAGATGTTTTTATCCAAAGTGACCAACATTTGTATGTATGAACACACTTTTGTGAGTTCTTGCTTCTCCTGGCATTTGAACCCACAACCATTGCGTTATTAGCGCAATGTTCTACAAACTGAACCATAGGAATGCTATCACACAAAGAAAGTAACAAGTTAAAGGAATAAAAATCACTCTCCTAACCAATACAGCATCTCAGGCAATCTCTTTTCCATTATTAAGAGGTCAAGAGGGTAAATTAGCCTGGCTCTGAGGGTGTTCACTTCCCAACCTCCTCAGCGTGTATTAGATCTCACCAATTAATAGTAGCTCTCACCTAAATACACACTTCCAATATAATACAGTAAATCAGTTGAGCAGCACGGCGACCATGAAAACATTGTCTGTTTTTCACCGAGGGAGAGATGACAAACATTAGATTTGACAGTACAAAATGGATTACATTTTAGAGCAATTAAACATAAATGGGCTGTGATGAAGGTTGACCCTGAGCAAATTGGCCACTGCTGAACTGATCTGCATAGCGTCCAATGCCTACCAGAACCAAGACCCTTTCCCAGTTCATTAATAATTTATGCAATGTGAACAATAAAGAAACCTTTTTGTGTTTATTGTGTAACTCATAAGCTTAAAAGGATGAGAAATACAATGGAAATTAATATAGGTGTTCTTTTTTTATTATTATTATTAGTATTAAAACCTATTTTTGTAGTTAATGGGTTAAATATTTAAGTGGCCATCATTTACATTGAGAATGTTTGAGACTATTTATCTGTCCTGGGAATGGGGTATTATTAAAAACCGTATTTTGGTTTCCCCCATTGGAGTAGGAGTAAATGCCCTTAAGAAGGAAGCATTGGCTTCCCAGCTTAGACTTCCACTTCTGAGACACAGTACTAGATGGAAATGGAGTTAGAGCGCAGAGATTGGGGTTTTGTGCTTAGTTTAATGTAGATTTTTAACTGTCACTTATGTCAATGATAGCCGTGGGGGAACATTATTGTGCAATTAACATTTTTATTTATTGATTATTTCATTATTCTGGGGGAAGTAGTGTTGCACATTTTTCCACTGTTACACAGCCTGAAAACATTAAACATTTTTTCCCCACATTTACACAGTTTCACACTTTTTTTTAAACAGGAATAATTCAGTTCTCAAGCTCACATTCACATTTTATTAGGATTACTTATATTTACAATACAAGCGAGTGTTGTGAATAAGACTGACTGACATGAATTCAAGTAAAGTCTGTCCCTAGCACAGCACGCTCTGTCCATATTGTCCCTGGTTCTCTAAACGTTTTCCATTATGAGAGACACTTCAAACATGTTGTTCCAACCCGTGACAATTAAAGATCGGCACATTGCAGACGAGGTTTTGATTGCTCATTAAGATGAAGAGGCAGAGACACTGCTGCAGATGCTCCTGTTATCATGACAGATAATTAATGTGGAATGAACAGAAAGGCATGGAGACAAAAATCAAAGGAGGAGAAGAAGGGAATGCTGTTATGAGCTGTGTGTCAGCCTCCTTCATTACTGAGAAAACACTCCAGGTTTAATGTCTCCATCAAGGCAGGATGACCTAAGTCGCTGCTTCAAGGGAACTGCTGTGACTGAGATGGAAATCAATCAGAATTGAAACTACGTGTTTTTCTATGATTAATAACCTAGTTCTATAAGATGTCGTCATGCCATCTAAAGGCCATAATCAACCTATTCATATGGTTAAGTAGGTGCTTACTACTTACCTATTGGCAGTGCATAGGACCCTGTTCTAAAGTAAACAACACTGATGGGCTTTAGAGGCAATCGTTTACAAGACTTAGTAAATGAATCCATGTTTTTCTTTATAATTTTATGTTTCTTTTGCCCAAGCACGACCCTAATCCCCAAGACATTTTCAGACTGATTGATACTTTTTTTTGTGCAAATCGTATATGCTTCACATACCCAAACTGCCAGTAGATGGAGCAAATGCTGACTCGGTAGAAAGTTCAGTTGTTCATTTGCTGCATGCTCAATGTTATACAGGAAGATTGTGGGTTCCTCAAAAGTCCTAAAGTGCATAAATATGTGTATAAGTTAAATTTGGAACAGAAAACCTGGAGCAATCAGTGTTAATGCTGGCTGAGATATTGATTTTTTTTAATCAAAATTAATGGCATGACATAAACTGACAGTACGAGGATGAAGGAATCAGAACATGGTGTTTTTTTCTTAATGAAAGCTTTGGCTGATTTCCACACTGGCTTGAAAAGTCCTCAATCTCTTTTACCATTTTATTAAGGGCCAAGGTGCCCCCATAAACTATTCAGATTGAACCACTTCAAATGGACACACAGTTTAACCTTTAAGGTCAGGAATGACTTCTTTTAAGAATCATACCAAAGATCCTTTAACACAGAAAGAAGCCCGACGGAAGAGAGTGTCAGTCGCACATGCATGATCTTCTCACATCAGCTCATAATTAGTATGTATTATGCTGTTTTCTCATTAATGAAGCTTGAGAGCAGAATGTTAATGAATGCACTTATTCGAGGATGAACAAAAGTCTGCTGAGTCCTGTCTCATCTTCATTAGGAAGTCTCATCCAGCAGATTGCAGCAAATTTTTTAAACGTTTTATGGGCTCAAAACAATTAAAATGTTCAAGGTTGCATAATTACAGACACTATTCTGATTTGTTAATCAAGAAATCTATCCTCAAAATAATTTTACGTTAGATTAATGGATGTTTATTTTTTTTGATCAACTTTTTCTATGACGATAAGTATAATCTAGTTATTGCTAAAAGAATATAACTAGACCTGCACTTTCCTGGAAAATAAGAAGGCTAAGATTGATTAAGGTTAAGGCTGAGATTCTAGATTAAAGTTAAATTCTAGCCATTATGAGGTCAATGGGACGTCATTATTTGCTGCATTTCCATCCAAAAAACCCTGGACGGTGACGGGGAGATGCACATGCATTTTGAAAACATGCATAAAAAATTATACGCACAACTAACATAAACTTTTGTTTGAAAAGAAAAAAAGCTGCGTATAAGCTCCGATCCTTCAAATGTTTTGGTCATTCTAATATTCCTTACCCAAAGTCTCCCATCAACGTGGTTCAGTGTCTTGACCATCTGCGTTCCCAAAGAGCAGTCTCCTGCCTCCAAAAGCAACATGATTGCACATATTTGCATTTCGTCTAGGTGTTCTATGATGCAAGTAAGTTCTTATACACAAAAAAGGCCTTCTCGTAATACAGCAACTTACATTTTTCTTTTTATATTTGGTGCCAGTTTATCAGTAAATTACAGTTTTGTTCTCTTGGACTCTGGATGGAAAGTGTGCTTTATTTGTCAATATTGTTATTTTTCAATGGTCACATGCAGCAAGAAGTTATTGTATTTTTTTTTACTTTCTAATTTATATAAGGGCAGACCAGTAAGGTAATGCAAGCATATCCTTATGCTTTTCATCTAGGCAGAATTAAATTTACATTTCAATGCACTTCAAGCAACTTTCACAACTTGGATTTGCATAGAGCTGATTGTTATATCTATTTTGCTCACTGGGAACCAAAGCTTTGTTTTTCTGCATTGATATGGTGTTCTGATTTTCAGTTTCAATTGCAGAAATCTCATGAGCCATTTTTTTTTTTTTACCATGCACTAAAGCAGTATGCATTCCATTCATGTTGCCTACTCTACACAAAACATAGTTGCTAGGAATAAACAGCAGATGTCAGACATGACAGTGGTCCCTGTGTTTGTTTGGACACACATAAAGCTTGTACATGTTGTAACATGGCACTTTCTGCTGATGTCCGCATGCTTGCTGTCAGCGCAGCCTGTCTCTGAGGCTTTTTACTCCAGAGTCTATTCAAAGCTGACTGCCACTGCTTTTGCAGAAGCTCTTCCCTGTGAATAGCATCGAAGCCTTCGTCCTTATTCCACAATCATTCCTTCCAGAACTCTTTGCAGGTTTCTGTAAGAGTGCTGCAAATTCACAAAGAGCATCTGCGCCTCAGAGTAGCACAAGTTCATCCAAAGCGAAGCAATTCTAAAGGGGTGGCTTTTATAAAAGCAAAAAAATCTAAAGGTCCTGATTTTTTATTTGATTCTGTTTATTTATGCAGTTTTTGCATTAAAGAAAAGACTATTGTGTCTGGGTGAATCAAACAAGCTAAAATTTAACTACACATATTTCCTTATTTAGTAAATTTAATAGTACGACAATGATTCTCTCAACACCAAATCTGAAGAATGAGTAAATATTTAGAAAAAATTAACAAATGTTATATTGAAATAATAAATAAGTAATCAAAGCATATTTAATATATGATAATCAATAAGTATTCATAAAACATGGAGACATTGGCACAATTAGGTTTTTAGCAATATACTATGGATGAATTCCAACCAAAACATCCCAGACTTTGGTGCCCAACTGTCGTAATGTAGGATACCAAGGGTCAAAGAACTGGAGATGGTCAGAGCAAGGAGGAATTTCAGGTGTTTTATTGTGCTACCAGTGGTTAAAGTGGGACAAACCAAAACAACATCCAAACATAAATATTTACAAAACCCTGTTCCTAAATAAGAAAAAGAAAAATTTGCTCAGCAGCAAAAATCTCTTTACTAAACTGGGTCAGCTAAAGCTAGCTATAGGGTTTGCAGAGGTGGATTCAGCAACAAAATGAGGAAAGAGTCTATAAGCTCTAAGCAGAGCTAAAAGTCACAAGGTTCCATTCATGTATAAGGTGTGATCACACTTTTCAAGGGAGTCAAAATCAGTCTATTGTCTCCCGCTCTCTCCTCCAGACTGAATGAACTTGAGCTCTTTTATAGGAGAGCTCAAAATGGGTCGAACCATCAGCAGGTAAGTATATTGAACTTTTTCACCCAAGAAAACAAAGCCTATCCTTAAACAAAATGAAACTCAAATTTATACAATATGTTTTACGTCAACATTGGCAAACAACAATTGCTCATTTGGCAAACAACAATTTACATAAACTAAATTATATTCATGTCTCTTTCACAGAGAATTTTAAGAACTCCCCCCGTTGGAATGGGAAAATGGAAGGTTCTGGTCATGGGACCTTGAGTCACTTGATAACCTCATTTAAATCAGCTTGC